CACACACACACACACACACACACACACACACACACACACACACACACACACACACACACTTCCCTGCTCCAGCTCCCTTTGTACAGCAAATAGCGACGTTGTTTAGATAGATTATATAACCAACACAAACAAAGGGGATCTGTCATATTGGGCTTCATACAGGGTGTATTTGTTCTGGTTAGACTTACAAATCACAGCCACACACACACACACACACACACACACACAGTCACTGTAATCATTTGCTGTGGTTCAAAGCTTTGTAATGGAGTGTTTTCATATGCACAGGGCCTGTTCCTCCTCATTCCTGTGCAGTCAGAGAATCGTCCTCTCTATTCTCATCTCCACTGTACAAAGACACTTCTCTTTTAATAGCTCTAAACTCATCTAAAGGTTTTTATTAGTGTTTTTTCTTAAATTACCCAAATGTTCCATTAGTGCACATTGTTTTATTTTGTAACTACGGTTTACTTTTGGATTGTTACTTCAAAGTAAATGTAAATTGTTGAATGTAATGGAAGGAATTCGGTAAATGATTTAACATTCCAATCTGACTGCGAGGCTTAGTTCAGGTAGTAATGGTTATTTTCAACAAAAGCTCGGCACTGGGTTCATGTGCCAAAGTGACTTTGCTACAGTGAAGCTGTTTTCAGTCATGAACTCTAGAAACAATTTTCTAGACATTTCCCAGAGTTCATGTCTTCTGTCTTCATTGCCTTTCACGTATGAAGAATGCAGCAGGAGATTGTTTGGGTCAGACATGTTGTGTCACCATCAACACACACTCGTTGGCTGTGAATTTTCCTGCTGTATTCTCACATCGCTTAGATATTTCTTAGAACGGAAAAGTCTCCTAGCAACTGACTCTGGACATTTGCGTTCTCAAACTCATCCCCCGGAAAATTTCCAATCATGTCCGAAAGCAGCTTCAATTAATAAAATAATATATACAAATAATAATGCATTTGTGCGTGCGTATGTGTCACTCCTCTAACTGTAGTACCGAATGAGCTTAGGAGAGGGGGACCCTGGCAATTGTCTATTGTTACAGTGGTTGCTAGGCATTGTTTAAGCTGTTGCCTAGCAGCGGCCCATTGTGAAACGAGCGGTTTCCCACGACAGCCCCTCCCCCCGCCTTTTTACTTTACTTTCTCCCCCCGACCCTGCCTCACAGTCCCGTGTCTGATCTTTTAGAAGGCGGCCGATGTCTGCGCTTTGTTACTGATGAGCAGAGAATAACTTCCTCTTCCTGCGGACATTCATTCCAGTGTAGTGATCTAACCCAACATGACACACATAAGTGGTGTTATATTAGCCGGCCTATTTTAGTCTTCTGTCAAATTTAAGTGAAGTGGACAGGACAGATGAGTATTTAGGCTTTCTTGAAAACTGTAGTGAGGATGGACAGAATCAGGGGTACAAAAAAAAGAGTTGCGAGACCCAGGTGACATATTCAGCCTTCTTTGATGGAGCACCAGTGTTGGAATTTATTTGCAATATGCAATAAAAAGAAACGATGTACTGTAAAGCAACAAATCCTGACATATTAGAAGCTGGAACCAGATTTTTTTTTTGCTTGGTAAATAATTGAAAGGATGCAGATGCTGGATCTAGTGGATTTAAATGTGGTTTCATAGGGTGTAGGGTTTCTTTCAGCGGCTTTGTGTTAACAAATAGGGCTAAAACCTGTAATTCCTACCAATGTGAAGCTGTGGAACTTAAGCTCTGCTGATCAGAATATTAGGCAAAGTCTTAAATACTATGTAGTAGGTCTTAAATACATTTAGGTAGGTCTTCATTTTGTTTAGGTTTCTTGAACGCTACTTTCATTGCGCTTTAAAATGAGTTCATTGGCAGCATGTTTGTAATGTCTCTGTGTGTTGTTCTTTCTCAAAGATACATATATTAACATGCTGTAACTACAAACACGAACTTCACTGATAATTCATCATCTTAAAAACACCCCGGTTTTTGTGGTCACAAAGATAGATGATGGATGGATGGATAGATGGATGAATGGATAGATAGGTGGATAGATGGATGGATTGATAGATAGGTGGATGGATGGATTGGGGGATAGGTGGACGGATGGATGGATAGATAGGTGGATGGATGGATAGATAGGTGGATAGATGGATGTATGGATAGGTGGAT